CAAATGATCAACAATCAATGATACTGAAGAAAGAAGTCCACCCTGCCCGGATGGCTCTGGTGAAAAACGAGACTCCAGTAACTGAGAGAGTACCGATCGAAATCTTACAACAAACTGATGCAGTACTAGAGGCGCTCACTCATCTATGCCAAGAAATTTGAAAGACAGCTACCTGGCTTACCAATTGGAAGAGAGCCATTAGTTGTACTCATTACAAAGAGAGATGACTCAACAGAATGTAGAATTCATCAAACAGTGTCATTAGTATATCAGTTGCAATTTAATCACCTTGTTCAGGGCACTGGATTTTTGTTTTGTTTACCTCTACTTTCTAGTATCTGTTGTTTATAACACTTAAACTGCCCTGTATCTATTCTACAACCATTCCAAAGCAAAAATGGCAGCATTTGCCAAGAGACAAATTTTAGATGGCAGAAAGAGATAGGAAAGAAGGATGAATGGAAATGGGAAACACAGGGAGGAAATCTGTTGAATGCTGTTACATTGTGTGGATGGCAGTCAGTGGTATGAAACAAAATGTGTCTGAACTGATGAACAGAAAAACTAATTTACTCTGTAAACTTTCACCCAAATAACAATTATGGAATCTTTAAAAGGAATCAACAGCAGCTGTGATATCCAAATTATTAGGAGTAATATGGTAGACTAATCGGAGAGGAAATCTTGATCTCCAGTTTCTGCAGTGTGCCCTCCTGTGTTATAGGGACAATGTACTCCCCTTTAAGCAACATTGACACTTTCACATATTACAGTGTGGTGTTTTAAATTGTCTGTTCCCTGTTCTCACTGTTTCTTGCACTCATGTATGGAAGTAATAAAAAGGGAGCTATTTTAAGGGTACCACCACTCGTCTGTCAGTGTTTTGTACTGTGGTGGCCTGTGTGTTACTGTGATTCTGGAAGCTGTGCCATGAGTATTTTAAATACCGGCAGGGTCATCCACTGTGGGCTGGTTTCAGATGAGCTTTCAGACAAAGACAGATTAGAAAGTAGTAGAGACAAACTACTTCCGAATATTTAGTCACTGAAAACCTATGAATTACAGCGGAACACTGATAGAGTGCCACAAGGTAAGCCCCCTCAGTTGGAAAGCACTCAAAATAAGACTGGAGGAGAGTTGCCTCCTCAAAGTAGAGTTGACTGTGATGACACAAATGGAGTAAAGCCCTCGGTACCTTCATTTGCTGATGGGGCATAACTCAAAATGAAGAGAAACAGCTATAAACATCACTTAATAATCAGAACATGGAATATATGAAGTATGAATCTAGGAAAATTGGAAATTGTCTAAAATGAAATGGAACGCATAAACATCTATATCCTAGGCAAAAGGGCGCTGAAATGGATCATTTTGAATCTGACAACCACATGGTTTACTATGTCAAAAATGACAAATTGAAGAGGAATGGCATCACATTCATCATGAAAAAATAGCATACCAAGATGTCATGAAGCACAGCACTGTCTGTAATAGGATAATATCCATACAACTACAAGGAAGACCAGTTAATACCACTATTATTCAAATTTACATTGTTGTTGTTAAGTGCCATTGAGTCAGTTTCGACCCATAGCGACCCTGAACAGGGTTTCTGAGGCTGTAAATCTTTACGGGAGCAGATCGCCTCATCTTTCTCCCGTGGAGCAGCTTGTAGTTTCGAACTGCTGACCTTTTGGTTTGCAGCCCGATTCGTAACCACTACCATATCAGAGCCAACCACTAAAGTCAATTATGATGAAATTGAAGAATTCTACCAACTTCTTCAGTCTGAAATTGATCAAAATGCAATCAAGGTGTATTAATAATCACTGGTAATTGGAATGCAAAGGTTGGAAACAAAGAAGAAGGATCGGTGGTTGGAAAATATGGCCTTGATGATAGAAACGGTGCTGGAGATGGCATGATAGAATTTTGCAAGACCAATGATTTGTTCATTGCAAATACCTTTTTTAAACAACATAAAAGACAACTATATACATGGACCTCACCAGGTGAAACACACAGAAATCAAATTGACTACATCTGTGAAAAGAGACGGTGGAAAAGCTCCATATCATCAGCCAAACAAGACTAGGCACAGACTGTGTAACAGACCATCAGTTGCTCGTATGCAAATTCAGGCTGAAGCTGAAGAAAATTAAAACAAGTCTACAAGAGCCAAAATATGACTTGAATGTATCCCATCTGAATGTAGAGATCATCTGAAAAACAGATTTGATACATTAGACACTAAAGAAGGAAGACAGAAGAGTTGTGAGATGAAATCAAGAACATTATGCAGGAAGAAAACAAAAGATCATTAAGAAGACTAGAGAAGGGAAATACTAAAATGGCTGTCAGAAGAGACTCTGAAACTTGCTCTCCAGTGTAGAGATGATAAAATAAATGGAAGAAGTGAGGAGGTACAAGAACTCAATTGAAAATTTCAAAGGTCAGCTCTAGAAGACAAAGTAAAATATTATAACAAGTTGTGCAAAGACCTAGAGTTAGAAAACCAAGAGGGAATAACATGCTGAAGGAAGTCCATGGTGCATTGAAGGCATTCACAAAGAACTAGGCACCAGGAACTAATAGAATACAAATTGAAATCGTTCAACAAACTGATGCAGCACTGGAGACACTCACTCATCTTTGCCAAGAAATTTGGAAAACAACTACCTGGACAACTGACTCAAAGAGATCTGTATTTTTTCCCATTCCAAAGAGAGGTGACCCTGAGGAATGAGGAAATCACCGGACGATATTATTGATAGCCTATGTGACCAAAGTTTTACTAAAGGTAATACAAAAATGGCTGCAGATATACATTGACAGGGAACATCAGAGGTTCAAGCTGGTTTTATTAGAGGATGTGGATCAAGGGCTATCACTGCTGATGTCAGATGGATCTTGACAGAAAGCAGAATATCAGAAAGATGTTTACCTGGGCTTTATTGACTATTCAAAGGCTTTCATGACCAACTATGGACAACAATGTGAAAAATGAGTATTCAGGAACACTTATATGTGCTCATGAGGAACTTGTACATAGACCAAGAGGCAGTTGTTTGAACAGAACAAGGGAACACTGAATGGTTTAAAATTAGGAAAAATGTGTGCCACAGTTGTATTCTTTCACTGTATTTATTCAACCTGTATGCTGAGCAAATAATCGGAGAAGATGGATTATATGAAGAAAAATATGGCATCAGAATTGAAGGAAGACTCATTAACAACCTGCAGTATGCAGATGATGCAGCCTTGCTTGCTGAAAGCAAAGAGGACTTAAAATACTTACTGATGAAGATTAAAGACCACAGCCTTTGGTATGGGTTGCATCTCAATGTAAAGAAAACAAAAATCTCACCCCTGTTCTAATGAGTAACATCCATATCAATGAAGAAAAGATTCAAGTTGTCAAAGACTTCATTTTTCTCCAGATCAACCATTAACAGTCATGGAAGCAGCAGTCAAGAAATCAAATGATGTATTGCATTAGGCAAATCTGCTGCACAAGACCTTTTTAAAGCGTTGAAGAGCAAAGATGTCAGCATGAGGATAAAGTGTGCCTGACCCAAGCCATGGTATTTTCAGTGACCTCATATGCATGCGAAAGTTGGACAGTGAGTAAGGAAGATTGTTGAAGAATTGATGCATTTGAGTTATGGTATTGGAGGGAAATATTGAAAGTACCATGGGTTGCCAAAAGAACCAACACATCTGTATTGGATGAAGTATAGCCAGAGTGATGCTTGGAAGCAAAGGATGGCCAGACTCCATCTTTCATACTTCAGATTATTATCAGGAGGGATCAGTCACTGGAGAAGGATATCATGTTTGGTAAACTGGAGGATGGGAGAAAAGAGGAAGACCCTTAACGAGCTGGATTGTCACAGTGGCAACAATGATGGGCTCAGGCATAGCAACAATTGTGAGGTTGGCCCAGATCCAGGCAGTGTTTCGTTCTGTTGTGCGTAGGGTCGTTATGAGTTGGTATGGACTCAATGACATCTAACAACAAAAACATAAGGGTGAGTCCAAAAGTATTGCTATTAGGGTTCCAGTTTATACATGCATGAGTTTTCCCCAAACAAAATGTGTTTCAACGGTTCTGTGAGATCAGTGGATGCCTGCAGGCAAGTTTCCTCAATAATAACACTTAGCTTCATTAGGGTGCCTTCCCAAAAAGGGCCCAATCCAACAGTGACTTTCAAGCACATCATCTGGGCCAGTTGAATTGTAAGCAGAGAGGTCAGCTCAGATGGTTATGATAACTGTTTTTGGGTTTTCCAAGGGTTAATCTTGATAGATTTTTTTTTTGAAAGACAGGGTGATCGCGGAGGCTTATAATGAAGAAGTTTTAACAAAATCAAAAACTCCATTGGTAAGAAAATGGTAGGAACGTTACATCGAGTAATTTGTTTTTCCATCATGATGATGTACTTGCTCATTCTTTGAGTTTAGCAGTAGCTGTCCTATGAGAATTTCTTAGAGGAACCTTGCCCCATCTACCCTCCAGCCCTGATTTTGGCCCTTCAGACTTTCAGAAGTGTATATAGTCCTAGGCAGATGATATGTTGATCAACAATAGGTTAACATTTTGATTCTCTGATAGAAGTTGCTTTGATTTTATAGCAATATTTTTTGACTTATTCATATTTGTTATTTTTGTTGCTGTTCATCATTTTAGCCCCAGAATTAAGGTGAACCTTGTCATGGTATAACAAAAAATCAGATATATGTTCATTTTTGAAAAGTAATTAAAATAGTATCCATGAGAAAACATTCAGAAACTAGAGAAGTAGCCATTAAGCAAATGCTGGTTCTTTGATAGAGGAAGTTGGGAGAATATAAATGTTCCCTCAAATAATAATATTTCAAACTGATTTTGCATTTTTAGTAATTTCTTGTAATGTCTTAATATCCTAGTCATAGTGAATTTAAAACAAGATGCTTAACTAAATACTTTCTCAGTTTATCAAATAAATGTTTTTGAACAGAGACCGAGCTCATGGAAGATGTACTTATCTGGCTATGGTGTGGAGCTAGCAATCAAGAGTACAGAATACAAAGCTCTGGATGATACCCAAATTAAAAGTGAGTATGTTATCTCAAAATTTGAGTAGAATGAAAACTAGGAGGCTTACATACTTTTGTTTTGGAAAACTCTAATGAAGTTAATCCTGTATGTGTTAATATCAGGTTGGAAATGGGAGTGGGTGTCTTCTTAGTTTGGAATTTAAATTTAAATGGAAATAAATTTATTATACTTAATATGTCCTCAAAACTAGGAGTTAGTGTATTATTTTGCTTAGACACTGTAGCTTCCCACTCATTTTTAGCAAAGCATACAAACTGTAAATTGAGGTATAATGGATGCTTGTGGCTAGAGATGACTGATCCAAGACCCAGAGTGGCCCATAATCTATAGTTCAGTCACTCTGGGTCTGAGGGGATCACATTGGCTTAGGAAGCTTTGTCTAAAGTATTTGTCGCGGGTGAGTCGAGCTGACTCAAGGTAACCCTGTATTGGGTTTCAGAGGCTGTAAGCCTCATCTTTCTCCCACAAAGCAGCTGGTGGGCTTGAATCATAGAGTTTGTGGTCCACAGTCCAGTGCTTACCCTTCAGAACCACTGTGGTCCCCATGACGTTAGGATGGTGATTTTTTTAAGGGGGATGGGAGAATCTTGTGAAGTAATTTATTTAGCTGAGGTAGATTAGATTTGTGATCTGTAAACCAATCTTCTTTGTTGTATTAACTAAATCTTTGCTCGAGATAAACTCTGGAGAACTAAATTAAGCTAAAGAATTTCCCATAATTCCTTTGGATGTCTTGTTTTCTGGTTAATCTGAAATTTATACCTGATTCTTGGTGAAGAGAATTTCATTCATTTTTAACTATGCATTCAGATTGGCTCTTACTTTGGTTTTCTTATTCAGGAGTTGCTCATGAAGACCCTGCCTTGATTGCAGAGCATTAGCTCTGACTGCCCCTGCCAAATGTACTTCAAGTAAAGATCTTCGTTACTGTAATTTAAATATTTTTGGTTAAAGAATTACTGGAAAACTATAATACAAATAAAAGGAGCTCTGGTATCGTAGTGGTTACAGATTGGGCTGCTAATCTTGAGGTCGGCTGTTCGAAACTACCAGCTGTTCTCAGGGAGAAAGATGAGGTTTTTTGCTCCCGTAAAGATTTACAGCCTCAGAAACCCTGTGCAGGGTCACTATGAGTCGAAACTGACTCCGTGGTACTTAACAACAACAACATAATAAAAATAATAATCTGGATAGTGTATATATTCTAATTTAGTTATTACATAGCTTTATACTGTTTAGAACTTAGTATCTTAATTGCCATGAAAGTGACAAAGTATTTTTTTAACTATCCTTGGACTAGTAGAAATTTCTTTAAATATCAGATGATCGCATATGTATTCTCTATATTAACAAATTATGCAGTAAATCCAGTCAAATCTATTTTTCACATATCTTTGGAATATACCTTCCTCCTCTATTTTAGTACCACTACATTATTTTATTATTGTGATTCATTTATTATTATATTTTCTGCATAAGTGTTAGGCTTCTAACTGACCCTCTCTCTGATCTTTGGTTCCCTCAGCATAAATGAATCAGTGTACTTTCCAGACCCCTTCAGAATGTACTTTTTGTTATGGGAATCTGACTTTGTAACTCCGCTGGCTAAAACCCTTTAGTAGCTCTCTGCTACCCTGCCTCATAAACTCAAAATTCTGTAACAGAGCCGGCAAAGTGTCTCATAGTATTCCCCTTTCTGCCTTATCACTCCCCCTTACCCTGTCTCCTTTGTACTCTCAGGTCCTGCAGTACTGAACTACTGTGAAGAAAAACTTTCTCTTTCCCGAATGCCTACATGGTTTTCCAAGCCTTTATGAGCTCTACCACTTTTATCCCTTGGCATATGCTATTCCTTCTACTTGAAATCCCCCTCTTCCTATCCCCGTCTCTAATCTTTTATATTGCATCTATCTTTTTAAGACTCAGATCAGTCATTACAGAGTCCTGGTGTGGATTAATGTGCTAGACTGCAAAGTTGGTTTGAACTGCAGGGTTGGCGGTTCAAACTCTACCACTGCTCCTTGGAAACCCTGTACAGGGTCTCTGCGAGTCAAAACTGACTTGACGGCATGTAACAACATCAGTTATTACCATTGTGAAGCTTCATCTCTTCCAGGTCTAACAGCAGATGGCTTTTCCTTTTCTCTCTTCTGTATAACTCTATACCTACTGTTAGTAAAGCTCTTCATACTGTGAAAAAGGCCTATTTATTTGCTGCTCTCTTTTTTCATTAAGCAGGGTCTTTTGTATCTCTCTTCCCAGTGTCTGCCCTGATAGGTATCTATGACTATAGTAAGCAGTCAGTAACTGTTAGTCTACTGAATGAAGGGAAAGGGAATAGAGAGTGGGTCAAAGCACCCAGGGTTTGTAGATATAGCCCCAGAGGTCCTGCCTTTCAGAAGAGATATAAGAGAGAGGTTCATGAGCTTCATGAGCTGGGCCCCTCTGATGGCCATCAAGCAGCTCCATGCTGCGAGAGCTCACACATTCTTTTAGTACCAAATACATAATATTATACCACACTATATTTTGTAATTATTTGCTAAGAAAAGGAAAAGGGAAGAGAAATGACTAAAATAATTATATTTTTATTTCTGAAGTCTTAAGTCTGTTTCTTTTTAAAGGAACCCATATAATTCCTTGCTTGCATGTATGAAAATATGCACAAATTCATATTTGTCAGGGACAGGAATTTTCAGCCTGACTTAAGAGGTAAACCCAGGGTTTCCCAGACACTTGAACTTAGCACTTCTAGCTGTAAAACGGAACTGGACTATGACAACATCTATGAAGTATTTATCATTTAGTGCTGTGAGTCGGTTCTGACTCATAGTGACTCTGTATAGGGTTTCCAAGGCTGTAAATCTTTGTGGGAGCAGAATGCTCAGCATTCTCACACCCAATGGCTCGTGGTGGGCTGGAACCTTGACCCTTGTGGTTCTCAGTCCAGTGTTTATCTTACAGAGCCACCATGACCCAAGAGTATTAATTGGGTGATTAAATATTTAATAATCTACCCAGGTCTGATTTAAAAAAAAAAAAAAGAGTATACTCAGGAATACAAGTCAGTGCCATTAATCTGTCCAGGAAACAAACAAACAAAAATGGTGGAGCCTGTGGAATTAATTTGAGTCCTTCTAATTAATCCTGGTGTGGCGCTGTGGGCTAATGTGCTGGACTGCAAAGTCATGTGAACCACAGGGTCATTGGTTCAAGCATAGTAGTCGCTCCTTGGAAACCCTATACAGGGTTGCTGTGGGTCAGAATCAACTCAACGGCCTTCAACAACAACAACAACAACAACAATTATTGATTTGGAATCCTGTTGTGGTGCGGTGGGATTAGGCACTGGACTGCATGGTCAGTTTGAATCACAGGGACAGTAGTTCCGATTCACCAGCCACTCCTCGGAAACGCTATCCAGAGTCACTGAATAGGGACTGACTCAACGGCCCCTTAGCAACCTAACTACTGACTACGTAGTCCAGTTCAAACCTGAAAATAATTTTATTTTGTGTATTTCAAAATAGCTGCAAATGATACTGTTGTAGAAGATGAAAACGAAGCAAGTGAAGTTCAAGGATTTCTCTTTGGGAAACTAAAGTAAGTGTGACCACAAATAAAACTGGTATTATTGGGATTATTATACTCAAAAGTTTAGTTTTAGAAGAGTTAATTCAATGTGCTATGTTGGTAAATGTTTCACATTTCCTTTTTATATTCAGAGATTTGTTTTTATTATGAAAGTAACACGATGTTAAAAACTTTATGAGAAGAAAAAAAATGCTTCAACCCATGGCCACTCCAAACAGATCAGCTGGAATTGTCACTAGTCCTGCACCATCTTCCATATTGTTAGTGTGCTCGTGCCTTCTGCACTGCTTCACACAGTGTTCTCTTGTGAGCCGTAGGTTTTCATTGGCTGAGTTTAGGAAGTAGATCATCAGATGTTTTTTCTTAGTCTGTCGTAAGTCTGGAAGCTCTACTAACACTGCCCACCAATGCTGATCCTCCTTGTATTTGAAATACAAGTGACATAGTCGTACGAACATAAAAGCCACCACAATACAGCAAACTGATAGATGGATGGTGGAGTCTGTAAAATGATCCATAAACTCCACTCATTCCACATATGAGAAATCATGTCTTTACATATTTTATAGCAATGAATAAATGTATTTGTAACATGCATTTATTTATTGCTAGAAATAAATTTATGTTACAAATAATTGCATGGTTTTTACACTGTCAAGCCATATATAGGCTACCTGCTTTTTTCATATCCTGTGAAATGTGCCACTGTTTACTGAAACAGTCTCATAGAAGAGACTGTAGATTATACCTTTAATATTCCCTTACATGTTTCTGAGCACAACTTGGGTATATCTATCATTGTTGCTGTTGTTAGGTGCCATCGAGTTGGTACGACCCATTGCGACCTTATGCACAGTAGAATGAAACATTGCCCGATCCTGAGCCAACCTCACTACTTTGCCACGCTTGAGTCCATCGATGCTGCCACTTGGCCAATCCATCTCGTTGGGGGTCTTCTTCTTTTTCTGTGACCCTCCACCTTACCAAACATGATATCCTTCTCCAGTGACTGGTCCCTCCTCACAATACGTCCAAAGTATGAGAGATAACGTTTGGCTATCCTGGCCTCCAAGGAGCACTCTGGCTGCACTTCTTCCAGAACAAATCTATTGTTTCTTTTGGCAACCCATGGCACTTTGAATATTCTCCTCCAACACCATAACTCAAAAGCATCAATCTTCTATGGTCTTCCTTATTCACTGTCCAGCTTTCGCATGCATATGAGATTATTGAAAATACCATGGCTTGGGTCAGGTGCACCTTAGTCCTCAAGCTGACGTCTTTGTTCTTCAACACTTAAAAAAGGTCTTGTGCAGCAGATTTGCCTGATGCAATACATCATTTGATTTCTTGACTGCTGCTTCCATGAGTGTTGACTGTTGATCCAAGAAGAATGAGTCCTTGACAACTCCAGTCTCTTCTCCATTGATAAAGAATGTTGTTTATTGCTCCCGTGATGAGGATTTTTGGTTCTTTTTTTACATTGAGATGTAATCCATACAGAAGGCTGTGCTCTTTGATCTTCATCAGTAAATATTTTAAGTCCTCTTCACTTTCAGCAAGCAAGATTGTAACATCTGCATATCGCAGGTTGTTAATGAGTCTTCCTCCAATCGTGATGCCACGTTTTTCTTCATAGGACCCATCTTCTCATATTATTTGCTCAGCATACAGGTTGAATAAGTATGGTGAAAGAAAACAACCTTGTTGCACACCTTTCTAAACTTTAAACCATTCAGTGTTCCCATGTTCTGTTCGGTAGTAGGAAGGATCAATAGTTGGAAAATACGGTTTTCTATTGTTGGAAAATACAGCCTTGGTGATAGAAATGATGCTGGAGAATGCATGATAGAATTTTGCAAACTCAATGATGTGTTCATTTCAAATACCTTCCTTAGACAGCAAAAGAGATGCCTATACACATGGACCTTACTAGATGCAATACATAGAAATCAAAATAATCTGGGGAAAGTGATGATGGAAAAGCTCCATATAATCAGTCAAAACAAGGCCAGGGGCAGAAAGTGAAACAGGTCATCAATTATTCATATATGCAAATACAAACTGAAGCTGAAGAAACTGAAAACAAGTCCACGAGAACCAAAATATTACATTGAATTTTTCCTACCTGAATTTAGGGGTCATCTGAAGAACAGAGTTGGTACAGTAAACACTAAAGACCGAAGACCAGAAGAGTTGTGGGATGACATCAAGAACATCATACATGAAGAGAGCAAAAAGACGTTAAGAAGACAAGAAAGAAGGATAAGGTCAAAATGGATGTCAGAAGAGACACTGAAACTTGCTCTCCAGCATGGAGATGCTAAAGCAAATGGAAGAAATGAGGAGGTCTAAGAGCTGAACAGAAAATTTCAAAGATCAGCTCGAGAAGATAAAACCAAATATTATAT